GTTCACAAACGTGATGCCTGATACTTGTACAAAGCAGTAGTCCAAAGTTTGTCTGGTGAAACCCGTGAATATTTGCGAGGCTGTAATATTTTTACGGGTAAAGGTGATTGCTCGTGGTCGACCCACTGTTTCCCCGATGGGTTTATGGCTGTTAAAGCCCGAGTGGTTTTTCGTTATATATTCCCCCTCTTTCTGCAGTGTCCATGGTTCTTGTACCATGACAACGTGCGCTCCCGCATCCCATGCCTGTTGTAACGCTATATCCATATTTTCCCCGCCCTTTCCTACGTTCACTTGGTGAAGTAGAAGGACGATTTGTTGCTCGTTTTTATTATGAGTTACAGGTGTATTCCTCATGAATTTTTCATTGTTGCTTCCGGGATGCTGATGACCTCTACGACCTTTCCCTTATTGTCTGACGCGGCTAGCGCTGCGTGGAAGTCTCTATGGCCGCGCTCTCGAATAACTCGTAGCTCTGCTGGCGTACGAGGGACAGCTGCGCCATTCTGCCTTCTGGGACGAGCCATGCAGTTGAGGTCTGTTGACTCATGTGGTCCTGCGCAATTAGAGCATTTAGGTACTTTAACAGTGTAATCGTTTGTTTCATGTGTTCCGGTGCAGCGGCCACATCGCTGTCCTTTGGTACATGCTCTTGTTGCATGAAAACCCCAGCAGCGTTGGCATAGCTCTATAGGACGTTTTCGCGTAAAAGGCATGGCTGGTCCGCTTTCATCAAATAATCTGAACTTGATGGATTCCGGTTTTTGTTTAAAGTGGATGACCCAGTTTGTGGAGTACTGTCCCAGTTTTGCTTCACCTTGGCGAACCTGCACGGGTTTTACACCACATACAGACTGACACTCGCCTTCCACCATTTCCTTCGTCACAGGTATGCTACCCTCTAGTGTCCTTATATAGAGTGGTACATGTGGGACCATGACAGAAGTTTAATCTGAGGCTGCCTCGATTGTGATATTTTCTTGTTGGAAGGACTGCCCAATTCCAAGGATTGTTTCTCTAAGTGCGTCTGAAATGCATTCAATTGCCAAGCCTGATCTAACTTGGTGGACGTTGTTGATGGCTGAAATAGCTATTCCAGCTCGCTCGGTGATTATTTTTTTGATAGTGACTGGTGATATCTTTCGCCAGTTATAATCTTTACCTAGTCGAATAAAGAGTCGTTTATCTTCTTTAGGGGGCTCTTGTCCGACCAGTCTTGCCTGCGCAACCGGTCTTCGTTTTACCAGATTGACTGGCGGGTCTGGGAGCTTAGCTGCTTTCTAAGCTACTGTGGCCCACGAAGAAGCAGTCTCCTTGGGCTTTCTTGGCAGCTCATGGAGGGGTTTTTTCGCCCTAGGTACAGAGGTTTCTAGCTGTGTACCTTCTGGTGATGGGTTCTTGCCTTGGGGAATAGCTTCATGGAGAGTTGTGGCGTTTTCACAATTCGAAGATCTAGCCAAACCTGGTCGCGAACTTTAAATTGGTCGGGTTGTCTCCAAAATCGATTTGTAGTGCCCTCATTTTGCCGCTGTGCTGAAACCATTTCTACCTGTGCAAAGTCTTGCGCATTCTTTAACCTTTTAGCGTAGTCCTGTGCCGATAACCGTCCTGGGTGTCGAGAAACATCCTCAGAGGCGGGCGTGGGCTCTGCCAGAGGTTCCAAATCGTATCCGTGCGGTAGAAAGAATGCGCTGAGTCCTCCTATCGCTGAACTAGGTCGTGAGTCTAGTGCCAGTTGGGCCACAGGCAATAGATCCATCCAATTGTCTTAAGAGTAGAAAGTGAAAGCACGTAGATATTTGTATAGCTCCTGAATTGCGCTTTCTCTGAAGACTAGTGTGGGATCCGTCTTACAGTTGTGGACTCGGAGCCTTACTCGTGATTTCTCCTCGTTGCTTACCGGTTCGTTTCTACACTCGCCTAGATCAACTTCTGCCACTTATCCTCTCCAACGCACACTATGTACCTTTCCAGTGCTTCCGTGGTCACCCTTGTTATCTCTTGTGGGCAAACTTTGGCCTAGCTCTAGAATCCAACCCTCTCCTGGCCTACTTTGGACCATTCTCCCACATACGTCGAGTGTTTTGAGAAGGACATTGACTTGGAAAGTTGGGGTGATGCATACCAATGACCTGTCTTGAACCAGATTGTATTTATACATGAAATGCGCAATGCGCAATGCTTATCTAAATGACAAGACTGCAGTGGAAGATTTCAATGATTTGGGTCATATCAAGTCAGACTATCAAGAAATCTCACCATGTACGCGCCAAAGGGCAAAATATTCCTCGGTGTCACTCATATTGTTATAGAGCCCTCAAGATTGCTCTCATTCCTGCACATCTTTACCTCTCTGGGCTCTATCCCTGGTGCTGATTTTTTTGGGTCTACAAGTTGTATTCTTGGCGTTCAGGGTATTGTTGAGCCTTGTGCAGACACTTGAAATGATCTCAGCAGTAAAGCTTCGAAGTAAAAAAGCACAGGTGTAAATGTTTAAGAATTCACGTTTCCAAATCACACGTAGGGATATATATCGGTTGGGCCCAATGTACGTATACGTAAGGTTAGTTCAATGCAAAACGAAAGGTACAGAAGTGAGATATGTATGATGTCTTTTATCTCTAAAAACATAACGAACGTAGAGTTTGTTGCATTAGCTGAGTCATCAAGACAAACACTCTGCAAGGGAAACGTGAAACTCACTTAGTGCACACCAAGTAGAACTACTTTCCTACAATACATTTATTTTAATCATATGATGTGTATTAATCTTTTAAACAATGACGCATGATCAGCGCTTTGTATGCATGACTCTTTTGACTTTAGAGTCACTCGTACTCTAGACTTTATTTGAAAATACCACTATAAATTGTGTTTGCTTACGCACAACAATCGATCCTCATTTGTGAGTACCCGTCAAAGAAAATCCGGATTCTTTTGTTGTCAAATCACACGTGCACTCTGAGATATAGGGTCACGTATTGCTAGATTCGAGCCTGAGAGGCCAGCCTGATAATATACCACTACACCATCCAGTCGTAGTTATGTTTATGGTGTCGCTTACACTGTCGTACAACAAGTCGTCGCACTCTTAGTGCTTTTCAACGTGAATAACTTCTTCCCAATTACCAAAATCCTATCATTTTTAAGATTTTATCCATCTGTAGCATCGTCCTTTCTGTATTTCCTCGTATCTCCTACGTCCATCTCAAAGATCTGTCCTGCTGGATTTGTGAGCCACAATTTGCCTCTTGCTGTAGGTATTGACATTCCGTGGGCGTGTAAGAAAAGCCCAGACACCGTGTGAACGATAGGTGTGTTTATTGAAACAAACACGCACTACATCTTACTCGTAGACTGAATAAGGCCTTTGATTAGAAACAGTTTAGCTGTGAGTTAAAGGTTGATATAATAGAGTCCTGAATGATTGCCTGTTATGCCAACTTCTTTGAATTTGCAAATTCAGCTACAGTTAGCTATGAGGAAGTATTTCATTCGCAAACTAGTAGGGGACAAGACGGACAGGTATCCAGTCCTCTAGCTCTCATCTACCAATATTATGACAGCGTAGGAATCGTATTATTCCGTATTTCACAGGCAGGGCACCAATGAAGCTCTGGAATCTGCGTTATTTGAATGTTCAGCTCGTATCAGCTTTCACTCACCTGTTGAAGCATACTGATTTTGAACATCCAGGGAGCCTGCAGTATGTGCGTCAAGAAGGGATTGAATTCTTGCGCTCTTCTGTCCTCCATCCGTCCGTTCTTATCGACCGAGCTCCATCTCTCCGCGCCTCTCTTTGTTAGTGAGAAGGGCATGAGCTCCTGGTGCACATCGGACTAAATTAATCCAGCGGGGTCCCTCGGTCCGAGGCCGTCAATCATCAAACAAGGCTTTTCTAAATTTTTGCCAATTCACTCCTTACAAACACGTTACTACTTTTTTTTTAATTGAGCTACAGTATCTTACCGATAAACTCAGTATATCTAGGCCCCCCAAAATCTTCAAAAGCGTTTGCCCATTGATCATAACCCAAGAATTGTAATAATTAGTGATGGCCAAGTTGCTTCCTGCCGTTTCCTCAGGTGAGATGCTGCGAATTATTGCTCCAGCCTTCCACCCGCCTCCATAAAATTTGCATCCCAGTATCTATCCTACTCAATACCGCTAGTTAGAAGTCTTAGCTGGTGTTTTTTCCTGATTATCCTGAGTATATCTGCTCATTTAATAACCTCAAAACACCCACCTTCTCCCCCGCCCAGTCGGTGGGATTTTTGCGTAGGGAATAAATAGCGGGTGCTTGAAGTATCAAAATGAGAAAAGTTGATGAAGAGAGCCTGATTTTTTCCTGATAGGCTGTTAAAATTCTTCTTGATTCCTTCGTCGCTTTTAAAATCTCTGCAGTGCGCGCTTACAACTAAACAAATCCAACTTAGCTCCTTGTGACCGATAATTAATCAGAAAGGTTTCCAGGCTCATTCATTGTGTGTGACTGGGTTTAAGGCTATCTTTCACCCTTGGCCCGTTGAGGGCAGCGTTGGTGGATGTGGATCTGATCTCCCGAGTTATTGGCTTTGAAGGTATGAACCAGAGATCGCGCCCCTCTAGCACCAGTTGAAATGTCAACGGAAACATCACTTGCAAATACTAACTTTTAATGTAATACAGACCCCAGGCAAAGCGTCCCTATCGTAATGGCCATTACCCTCAGCGTGGATGAAGTTGAGACGAGTGGCATTTTATCTCAATACAAGCGTAGGAAGTTCGTTTGTTAAGCGCCGTCATGAAAATAACTGAAATTATGGCACTTGATAGCTTTCAAGTAGATTGTGCCATAGCTGAGTAGACCATGCAATTGCCTGGGAGAGTAGATAGAGCGGAAGGCGGGAAGCGTTGCTGGGATCCAGCCCGCCTTGTTCATCGCCGGACCCGCGTCGGCCCGGAAGGCCATGACTACAGACGACGTGCGCACCACCCATCTCTCCTTCTGCTCATCTACAATGTCTGTCATATCCCATTATTTGCCCTTGGCTCGACACACTACAGCGACGCAGGCGGCGACCTACTTATTCGGCGTGTGTCTCTTTAGTATTTCCTTTCTCGTCTTTTTGAATGCCTCTGTCTCCTTTGTGGTAACCGAGGTCTTGGGCATCACGACGGGTGTGGGAAACGTTGTGGGCACGCTCGGCTTCGCAGATGAACTAACAGCGCTTGTGGCCTGTCCGTTTTGGGGCATTTTGAGCGACCGGTGAGGCTGATTTGCTCTGGAGCCCAGCGCGGCAAAGCTAACGCGACCTAGACTCGGCGTGCGATCAGTATGTGCGGCGGGATACATCCTCGTCGGCTTCAGTCTCATCCTCTTCGTCCATGCACGTAATGTCTATCCCCAGCTCTTGCTGGCACGCCTCTTATTTAGTTTGGGGGCAGCAGCAACGTAAGAGACTCGTGCTCAAACTAGACTACTTTTCCTGACGTGCTGCACAGTGCAACCATGGTTACCAGCATCCTCCCGAGTCTGTTGGGCGAGGAGCCCGACAACGCATCGCCGCCATTTCACACCTCGCCGGCGTGGGAGGAAAGCTCCCAGTGCAGTATGGCGCCCTCAACGAATTCCCAAATCACCATCACGCCCGCAAATTATGTCTACCAATCACAGCCATGCTCGGTTGATCCGCCTTTGAAGGCAACCCCGTCCCCTCATCACGCAGGTTCGAGATCCTCACGTCTTGCGGGTCTCGTAGGAATGTTTACGGGATGCGGCGCTCTCGTCGCATTGGCCATCTTTCTTCCGCTGCCGACTCGATTTTCTCGGATAGACGGAGTCAGCCAGGCCGAAGCCATTACGGATAGTTTTTATGTTGTGGGCACGATCGCAATAATAGTGGCTGCCGCCTGTTTCTGTGGGCTGCGAGGTTTGGCAGGTGAAGGAGAAAAGGGACTACGTATACTCTGGACCCGCGCGTCCGCACGATATGAAGCAATTCCTAGCGAGGATTGTGGAATTGATGAGACTCGCCGCAGTGATGTCTTCCTTCCCTACTGGCGCCTTCTTTTAGATTCAACCATCCTAGGCTTCACAGATTCCAATATTGGCCTCGCATACGTCGGCGGATTTGTAGCACGCGCTTCCTCGGTTGGAATCTCTCTCTTCATTCCCCTATACGTCAACGCATTCTTCACACAGCGCGGCCTCTGCCATGTATCTCCCCACGATCCATCGCCTGAAGTGAAGAAAAGCTGCCGAGAGGCATATGTCTTAGCTGCCGAACTAACGGGCGCCTCACAATTAGTTGCACTCTTGGCGGCGCCAATCTTCGGTATCTTCTCAGATCGATATCGACGCCTGAACTTACCTCTCCTTGTCACTAGTATCAGTGGCATAATTGGCTATACTGCGTTTGCTCGACTCGAAAGCCCAGAAATTACCAATGTAGATGGCCGAGGCGGCAGTCCGTTAGTATTTCTCATTGTCTCGCTCATGGGATTCAGCCAGATTGGCGCTATCGTGTGTAGTCTGGGGCTTTTGGGCCGCGGTGTACTTGACGATGGCGGTCACCAAGCCAGTCCCTGCCGCGTTTCCATTAGCCGGGAGCAGGTGGAAGAAGACGAGTTACTCAACATGCCATCCCTCAGCACGACAACGACACAACCTAGGCGTGCTCGACAACACCTCAAGGGTTCAATTGCAGGCATTTACTCATTATCAGGAGGAGCAGCTATTTTACTTCTTACCAAACTCGGGGGATTTCTTTTTGATAATTCATCGATGGGCGCGCCCTTTTACATGATGGCGGCATTTAACGGGATATTATTTTTGACTGGGATGGGAAACAACGCTGGTAGGGCGTATCATCGAAGGGGGATGTGAGATGAGATTGACGCTGGGTGGATCACGCTTGGCTAGGCATGACAGGCGAAGATCCGGAGGGGCCGAGCTGTATATGGAACCACACGAAAATGTCCGAAGTATGCTTGCGTGAGATGGGTTTTGGGAGGGGTAGTATTGAGGATCACTCAGTACGGTCTACTCGGCCGATTGACGGGTACGAGCGATGTGGAGCCTGCAAATCTGGCTTGGCCTTACATTCGGTCGGCGAATTTTGAGGCAGGAAACTAGGAGAAATACTAACCTCTTAGCATGGTGTGGGGTGTAATTGGCGGATAGGTGTAATCAGTGTGACGAGACACGACGTGTCCGGCAAGACGGGAGACAAGCGTGGGTTATAGATATGTTTGTTTAATGAGCTTCACTTGAGCAGCGGCAGTCGAGGAAACTCAGTTTCTGTAGCAGAGTTATTGAGGGAGGAAAGCACATGCGCACAAACATAAAAACATACAGTTTCCCTCCCCTCTCTACCAAACATAGTATCGTGCCCGTAGGTCGACCAAACACGATGAAAAGGCCAGTGCCAGACGGATGTGCACAGCTGGTTCGTGGTGGGGACTTGTCTGGACGATGTGAGTCTGGCAAAATATGGGGTGTCGGGGCGGAGGCGGGGGTGCTATAGACGTCTCTAGAAGGAAAAGAAGCAACTGACTCTGGGGGCTGGGATTGGCAGGGCAACGAATCAGCGAAGGAAGAGTGGCGGGCGCCGGCTGACTCGGCGTTGACGTCGCCGGCCGTCTTGACTCGGCTGAGACGGCAGGGAAGGGCGGGCAAAACGTGCGGCGTGACAGGCGGGGAGCAATGAAGCGTCAGTCCAAACTGTATGGGGACGGGGAGCAGAAGTAGCAGAACATCAGCGCAGTAACAGCAGCAGTAACAACAGTAACAATAGCAGCGATACCAGCACCAACAACCGCACCCGCACCCGCATTCTCATCCGCATCCGAGTCGTCCCATCTCTTGGGACGCTTCCCCCGGCCCAACGCACGGGCCCGGCAATCTTTCGTCTTCCGCTTACTCGCCGGCGGGCGACGCAGGCCCAGCTCGTCTTGGCCCGTCTGGCGAGGGTTTCCAATGACCTTGTGGCCAATCAGGGCGTCACGGTGCCTATGGCCGGCGCTCCTCTTCCACGGCCTCCTCCCCGCCCATCCTTCAGCGCTGCGCCGGCCGTCTGGCGATCACGGTATCAAGCCTCCAAGGGTCTACGAGTCTGCGCCCGCACCGCCGAGAGATACAAACCAGCGCCGTCGCCCTCCATCCTCTGCACTCGCAACTTCGAGAGTTTCCCTCTCTGCAATACTCTCGACGCCATGAACTCCGACCATCTTGCTCGTCGCCCCCAGCTGTTTTCCTCAAATCTGTGGTCGCCGCAGTCCTCTGACGCCCTCTACGACAATTCATCTTTCTCCCTCGACCTGTCGCCCGATCTGGCTGCTCTGCCCGCCCTCGACATGTCCGGGTCCCAGATGCCGCCGCTTCACGACGCCTACTCCCTCAATCGCCACCACTATCCGCCCACGCCCTCTGATAAAAACCTCACGCTGCAGGGCCATGGCCAGACAACACGTCTTCCACCGCAGCAGCAGCAGAATCCTCCTCCCGCGAGCTGGCACGCGGAGCCGACTGACGATGCTATTGAGCTCGCCGCCTACGACGCCGACATGGGCCTCACTGCTATGGGCGCCATCGGCCAGGCCTACACGACTGACGAACACGCGCCTCTCGTCGATATGAAATACTTCACCTCCGGCCTCGACTTTGACGCCGCCAATCTCGGCTTCTCCCTTCAATCACGACGAATGTCTGGCTCCTCCTTTACGATGTCAACGACGACTGATCCGCTCCTTGACTTCCACGCCTACGAAGAAATCTCCAACTCTGTCTCCGACCCGCCCTCTTTCTCCAATCGCAATTCTCTCCTCTCTACCTCCCAACTCTCGCCCGTTGCCTCGCCCCGCCTTACGCCACAGCACCGCTCCGATCTCACCTGGACTCAAAGCCGTGGCCGTGCTTCTCCCTCGCCGCGCCCGAGCATGCGTTCTGTGCCCTACAACATGGATAGCAGCCGGAACAAGCGGTGGTCTACTGGCTCTTACGCGCCGAGCGCGGCGCGCTGCGCCCCGCCTTATGTCCACCATCCGACCCACGACATATTTCCTCCCCACGCCTCATCTCTCTCCTCCCGTCACTCCTCGCCTATACTCCCCAATTCCCTCCATTTGGCTGATCTACACTCACACTCGCTCCTCCCTGCCGCTACCAACTCGGCCAGCCTCCACTCTAATCACTTCCTCGTCTCCTCCCAACCATACCAGGAGTCCATCCATTTCGACAGCCCTGCCCCACCACTTCCCAACGGTCTCTTTCGCATGTTACAGAGCAACGCCGATTCCTGCGCCCTCCACCCGCACTATCCTGATTTCTCCGACCCGCCCGACCTCTTTGCATCGCTCCACGATGAGCATGTACCACCGCCGCCGCAGGATATGACACCGGACGACCCAGAGCTCATTCCACATGAGCAGGAGCTGCGATTTGACGGTGACCTCTATACTCCGCGATGGGTGCGCGGCCACGGCAACAAGCGCGAAGGCTGGTGTGGCATTTGCAAGCCAGGACGCTGGCTCATCCTAAAGAATAGTGCCTATTGGTATGACAAGAGCTTCACCCACGGCATCTCTGCCGCCACCGGCAGTCCTTTCCAAGAACCGCAGGAAACTCGGCGTACCGACGGGAATCCTGACGTATGGGAAGGTTTTTGCGGCAGCTGCAGCGAGTGGGTAGCGCTCGTCTCGAGTAAGAAGAAAGGCACAACTTGGTTCCGCCACGCCTATAAGGTACCTATAATCCCCGCCCACCCAACTGAGCCACCTTTCTAACCTAAAATAGTGCCACACACACCCCAAGATCAAGGATGCGCCGAAAAGGCGGCGCGAGAGTCTGGTAAGTCCACCCCGCACGTCCGCGTATCCGCTTGACTAACATCCATCGCCTCGTAGCATGCCCGTACTGCCACCAACACCTCCTCTTCCTCCGTCTCCTCTTCCTCCTCCTCTTCGACCCCTGCCAAATCCAGAGGGGACCCCTCGTCGCGCTACAACAGTCAACCCTGAGTCCCACTACGAGCATCGCCACCATCCAGCCGGTGTCGCACTCAAGCCGGGAGAGTCGTGCGTCTTGGGCCCTGCCACTTCGAAGCGAGGACCAATACATATAAGCGACCCACCGCCGTCATCTAATTGGCCTGCGGTGTCCAACCCCGCCCCTGCCCGCTATGACGCAGAATTCTCCTTTGTTTTTGTTTTTTCCGCCGCGACATGACCGAGCCGCGGCAACCCTATGATTCCCACGAGATCAGTCATGAAAATAATGACGATGATGAAGAAAACGACGATGATGATGATGTCGCGCCCCGATCCCTCTGGTGTGAGGGTCCGGATTGGTGTGCTATCAGTGCCTCACAAGAATAGAGGACTGTGGGCCTGGCCGAGCAAGTGTCGGCCGAGTCTCATCTGATGATAGTCCGGGCACGGTGCCAGCGGACGGCGTGTACGGATGAAAATTAGTTGATAGAATCATGAAATGAACATGTGCCAAGTTCCCCGTGACTTAGAATATGGGCCAATATTTCTCGTTCTCAATGCCGGCCGCTTCCGCCGTCGCGAGTCAGGCCGAGGCTGGGGTTGCGCCGATCAGCTCAGGTACGTCTGACGGCTGCGCCCACTACCGCCATGGCATCCTGAGTAGACCTGACTCGGCGCTGCTTCTTCGTCTCAAAGCCCCCACGTTAAATTGACTCCTTACACAAGAGTCTCATCTCATGTGTGTGATCGTACGGTATCTGGTTTATACCGCTGCCAGAACTACCAGTCCATAAGCGCATGTTTGAGGCCTAGATTTTAGTCTGTGCATAGGTCAAGATCTAGACTCTTACTTACGCAAGAGCATTTGCGGCGCTGCCCCTCCTCCCGAGACTCGCCCAACGTTTTAATAAAAAGCATACTCGGATGATAAAGATAATTCTTCAGTTTGGATCGATTCTAGCAGTTTCAAGAGCTCGCATATCGTTCTATGTTGCCCATAAGCGCGGCATAAACCCCAACCGTTCCTTCCCGACAGCTACGGCCAGTCGCAGAAATGTCTAATCAATCATTAGCAAGCACACCTTCGACCTAAAACTATATTGATGCAGATCATTGTCATGACCATGAGGTAGGACGGGTGCCCTAGCAGAAGATACCATGTCGCCTAGAGCGCGAGGGCAAGACTTGGAGAACAATCATTCTCGGAGCGCCAGAAGTTCCGAGGCCACAGGTGACACGGTTTCTCCTGCTGGGAACGTTACATTAGTACCGCGCTCGCGGGATTTATCGCTGGAATAAAAGAGAAATAGTAGGACTTGCGATATAATAGTAATTGTGACTAGCACAAGTACTAAAGTACCAACTAGCCATCGAAGAGTCTATTTCACAAAATTTCCAGCAAATATATGTCGAGTCCTGACAGTCCTTGGAATAACGCACGAGTCAGATGGAGAAAAGATAGAGACTGCATACTTGTCACTAGTATACTTTGCAGGTCTACGAATAAGATTTTCTCCCAGAGCCAGGAGCAGCTGAATTTGCAAATTCAAAGAAGTTGGCATAACAGGCAATCACTCAGGACTCTATTATATCAACCTTTAACTCACAGCTAAACTGTTTCTAATCAAAGGCCTTATTCAGTCTACGAGTAAGATGTAGTGCGTGTTTGTTTCAATAAACACACCTATCGTTCACACGGTGTCTGGGCTTTTCTTACACGCCCACGGAATGTCAATACCTACAGCAAGAGGCAAATTGTGGCTCACAAATCCAGCAGGACAGATCTTTGAGATGGACGTAGGAGATACGAGGAAATACAGAAAGGACGATGCTACAGATGGATAAAATCTTAAAAATGATAGGATTTTGGTAATTGGGAAGAAGTTATTCACGTTGAAAAGCACTAAGAGTGCGACGACTTGTTGTACGACAGTGTAAGCGACACCATAAACATAACTACGACTGGATGGTGTAGTGGTATATTATCAGGCTGGCCTCTCAGGCTCGAATCTAGCAATACGTGACCCTATATCTCAGAGTGCACGTGTGATTTGACAACAAAAGAATCCGGATTTTCTTTGACGGGTACTCACAAATGAGGATCGATTGTTGTGCGTAAGCAAACACAATTTATAGTGGTATTTTCAAATAAAGTCTAGAGTACGAGTGACTCTAAAGTCAAAAGAGTCATGGAATATGGAAACAAAATACTTGTCATATGCTTATGATAGATAGACGAATACGCATTAAATAATTAAATCAAATTAGTCAGAAAGTCGAAAGATCACCAAAACACAGCGATCCTTGACAACGCGCGGCTAGGGGGTAAGCATTCGGCCAATTATATGTCCTTAGTTAGGTTACTCACGTAGTAGATGGTATTCTATAAGTAGTTGTTAGCCGTAGCAAGACTAATTTATCTTACTCATGTAGTCTAACTAATCGACCTAGTCATTGTCACCTGGTCTCTAGGCACCCTGGATCGGTTCCGAAAACGAAAGCCTCATACAGTAAAGAGCGATACTGACGGCTGTATATGGAATAGTGAACTATCACGTGAAGCCAATTGAATGTGGTGAACAAGGCTAGAGCGGATTAGCCGAATTGCTCACGCACAACGTTTCACACTCCCACGATGGGCGTAAGGCGCTGAGCTCAGCACTCTATTCCACTCATGCAGATTTAGTTACGAATCAAGTTGCTTGCGTTCCAACATTTTTCGTCAGAAATTATTCACTGAACCGAAACTCCCAATCGTTGTCTGTAGCCTTAAAATTACAAGATTTGTCAACTTAATACTATCCTTCAGACAAATTAGTCCTGCCACGGATCGACTTCCTGATGCATCCTATTACTACATCATCCTAGGCCGCTGATTAGTTAGCTGCTTCCAAATTAATTGACGAGGTTTCGTAGCCTGTAAAATCTTTAGCTTTTAAGCGGCCACTAGTCGAGGTGTATCTTGCACTTAAGCTGACCTGTAAAGTTTTCATGTCCCCACTAGACTTCGATCATCCCTAGCAGACCTGCAGGATCCACCGAAGTCAAAAGCATCACAAAGAAAAGTACCTCAACACTATCAACTACTACTTTCAAGCCACGTCCACTTCAGCATACCAACAATAAAACTTCTCTGAATGATACCAATGCCGCTCAACAAATCAACCTTGCCCCGGCTAGCTTCAATTCTGATACTTTACTTGCTATCCTCCTCTAACGTCTAGCCCCTATCTTCTACTTCGAACCATTTTGCTTGACCAAATTCTTCGCTCGACTACCTGCTACTCACCCTCCACGATGAACGCGCTCTTATAGTACTCACAGAGCTGTACATTTCTTGGACCGCCTGAGCTCAACAAAGATGTGCGCGTTATCCCAATAAGTTTATCTTTTGATATCTTAGAGCCATTCAAGGACTCCACTTGGCTGCATAGAATCCTACTCTAGACTAGATCCATCAGGAGCCTGCATCTAGAAGAGTTTATACTAGCGGAAATATAGCGCGATATTTTTGGAAAAAAAGAAGTTGACTAAAAGAGTGTCATGTTCAGATAACATGTAAAGGATGAGGAGCTATGAGCTATATCTACAGGTTCCAGCGATACAGAGTCTGATCCATAATTACCCAAATAGTGGCGCCGTCTAAATATAGTAGCTCCCTAGTCGATTCATTTCGCCCACGCCATATAGCCGCTCATGTATTCCCGAGTAGCATAAAGCACTACTTTGAGGCACAAATAAGGTTCAATACGATTCATAAGATCGTGTTGAGAACCCAGATAAAATGGAAGACAAATAATTTTAAACCGGTGTTTTTCCACGACCACAATATCTCAGTGATCGGATTACACGCGCTTAGAAACCTAAAAAATCACCTTAAAGGAAAAAATTCATTTCCAAATTTCCAAATTTCTAAAAGACTAGTTATAAAACACAACAATTCATCTTTTACTATGCGCGACGGCTATAAATTCTAGATAATTGCTTGAGTCAACAAAAAAAGCTACGCGAAAAAATCAAAAATAAGAAAAATTTGATCAAAAGGTCAAACCCCTGCTAGACCAAGTTCGAAAGACTACTCAGCGCACGAAAAAATCAGCTGTTTATGAGATAGTACAGGAGAGTAAAAATAAACTCTCGGATACATGAACTTAAATCCCGCTTAGAAATAATAGAGAACCGAATAGAATACATCGAAACGATGCCATCCAACACCTCGACATCCGATCTAAGATTCAGCCTACAAATTCCTTGCAATTAGGGTCGTTCTTCGCCTAGACCTGTTAAAGGTAAAGCTAGGGCAGAACCTTATTTGACAAATATTGAGAAAATAATCAAATTTCTTCCAACTTTGGACGCCGAATTTATTACCTTGTTGCCTGGCGAAATATTCCACGAGTGTGACAGCCCGGAATGAATACTTTAACCGCGCGGCCACATGACCTGAAAAAGGTATTATTCTAGAACGATAGCTCTAGTGTATTCGACTATGAATTGTACAGCTGTGGCATACTGTCACATCGAGGAGGCTTTGTCCTAGGCCCCTCTACCTCATGAGTTTAAATACGAAGTCTACACTAAGATGAACGATGAGTCAAATTTTTGTCAGGTCCTTTATCATAACAAAGTAAATACTTAGATACTTGTAAAGTTCGCTGAAACTTGGCTTGCCCTCAGAATTTCTCTAGTCCCATACTAATGTTGGCAATAATGGCTCTGTCTTCAGATTAAGTGTGGCTTAGAAACACTAATTTTGACTGACGAACTACCGTCTATTATACGTCCAATGTTCCTAGAGGTAACTTCCAAGACTATGCAGCAACTAAATGTAAACCACATTTCTAGAAATATCCTCTCTCACCTTAACACTGAGGAGGGAGATGATGCCGATTCCTTCACTGTACGTACATGAGAGTGATATGTTATCACTTTTCAACAATGGATAAATAAAACGATATAACACGAGATATCTTTTCAGATATCACAAAAATGTACAATACACACTTTTAGATATATCCAATCAATAATAGTGCGAGTCTCTTAATTTTAAAGGACGAAATTTCAATCCAAATAGCATTTCAAATTTCACAAAAGTCAATATAGGTTAATCTCCGTATTCTCAAATATATTAACATACTGTCACGGGCTGCTATGTCGTTATTTGGAACCGGAGTTTTTTCAGCTCCCAACAGGCGTCATTCTAATTTGCCTATGGACATAAAATTGCCGATATCAAGT